TTCGGAGCAGCTAATCAGCTACAGTAGGTAGCCACATGAGGCAGAATACCCACAGTATCATGCCCTAGAATTATTTGGTGGAGCTATCATCTAAATCTTAAGGATTATTGGAGTTTATCCAGCACGATTATCCAGACATTTATTAACGTTCACTAGAGGCGGATAACTGGCGGTGTTCGCAGCCAGAGATTCATATAACATTTGATGTTAAGTCAAACCACGCATTGTGCACTGATGTGTTAGAAACGGAGATTGATGTTTTGGATGCTGCTGGACCATGTGGTTGCTGAATGCTCATCCTCTGTGATAGTCCTGTGCTATGAAAAAAACCGCCGAAAATAGTCTTCCCAAATGTAATGAAGGTACTACTATCCCCTGCGAGCTTCAACATACATTATCATGAGTGTAGCTGTTGGAAACTGCATGAAGTAATCTTGAGGTGGAGACAGGTGGTCAGTCGAGTTCTGTCGGAGCCTGTTTTTTCGGTTCCATCCAGTAGGATAAGAGACGACCCAGAACAATTGTGACAGCGTTTGCGGAAGTAAAATTGAACTGGACTATGAGATATGTTCACCGAGCATGACAACTTCCGCACAACATAGCATGCATTCTTGGCAAAGAGGAAATTTCTGCACAACCATGGGTCACATTATGTTCATGATCAGTTAGTGTATGAGCATCTGAAGACTGAGCCTAACGCCAGGAAAGAATTGTAATGAACTATGGAAAAAGCAGTTTGGTTGTTCCGAAGAGATTGTCCGAGAAGAAGAAAGTTTCCATCTAGATGTACATTACGAGCTTCATGTTTCAGTTTCTGAAGAGTTTAAGATTTGGTTACTCTACTTTCTCTAGAAAAAGTTGTGCTGATTCCCATAGAGGTGCCAAAGGAACAACAGTTTTTCTCTTCTAAACCTGCGGATATCAGTAGCGTTTGCTTTGTGACAAAGAAGTTGCGCTTTTGACCACCCTGGCGATTTCACTCTGTGCCTACGGAGCGTTTAACTTAAAAATAATAGACTTTTTGGCTGATATTCGGTGATACCTGCGGCTACACATGAACCGAATGTTCCACTAAAGCGTGCAGACTGAAAACCATGCAATTTTGGGCATATGTCACAATTGTCGCAAAGGATGCTACTGAGGAGCTTACAAAATCTCTAAGCATACTCAGTTGAAAGCACGTGTTGACCAAGTTACTTGTCTACTTGTTCCTAGCTTGGCGGAATCATACTTGTTGTGGTGGGAGGGTTATTACTTTGGAGTCGAGATCTGGTTGAGAGCGCAATCTTATGGACCTTCAAAAGAGCAGCAGATACACTCGGACAAGCAGATTCGGTGGCTACAGAAACAATCACATTATTCGAAGCGATATCCAGTAAGCGTAGTTCAGATTTTTTTCTACAAAATATTTGATTGTGTAGTGTTTTATAAAAACGATCTAAAGAACCAAACAAAAACCTGGTTTGAGTTCGTTGAACGTATTTGACCACCAAAGCAATCCTCAGGAGCTCATCTGTTTTAGCTCCAGTATTTTTGAGGCCGCACAACGGGGTTGTTGAAATGAGACCAAGAAGGACGGTTGGACTATTTTTAGGTAAAATGTTGTGAACTCGTGTAGTGAAAGAGTTTTAGGATCTTATTCATTTGATCACTGCCTAGAGACAGTTGGATTAATGAGGAATAAATAAGCTGGCTGCCTGAATGGCGACAAATATTTCCACGTCTACGTCCATTTTATTGGGCATGCGAGGGTGTCAACAATGATTGCTATCGCTAGATTGTGAGAAGTAAGAATATCCTACAGATTTTGAGAGGTACGGTATTGAGAGCTCATTGATGGGTAAGTGTGACCATGTCCACGGAGTTCAGAGCATGTTGAAAACATTCTAGGTGTTCTGCATGGCGTGGTCTGCACAAGGCGGTGAACAGCAGAGATGAACAGCTTCATGCGAGCCCAGCGTAACACGGCAAGGACAGAAAGGGTGATTGAGACTTCAGGTATGTGGTCCATGAGTTTATAAAGCGACCGTTTCTCTGTGTTGGCTGAAAACGCAAGTAAACTAGAAAACAAACACGTTATTATAAGGGATATATATTGTTCTGGGCAGAGACTCACAGCAACAAAACAGAGTCGCCGCCAAATGATACATTTGACATGATAAAAATCCAGGGTCGGTTTGATCCACCACCTTCTCCCGCAAGTCAGTGGCTCTTGTTTGGATTCCAAAGAATGTTCGCATACCGCAATAACTTATGTCACCAGTAATGTATGTTTTTTTAAAAAAAAACTTTAGAGACTGTATTGTTTGTACCAACCGTTTGCAAGTAAAGAGGAAAATAAGAGCGCAGCTGAGCTGTGGTTAATGTACTTTTTTAATTTATCTTCAAATTACTGGATGCTGGACATTTTTTAGTGATTTTTTTACAAAATTAATAAACGGTCCATGAGGGAGCGCTTCCAGCTCTGTCCACCATGGCATATCAAAAGACACGGTAGCTTCAGACAGCTCTTTATGCAGGCAAAAGAAGATTATTACAACCGTATTTGTAAGCTCATCACAGAATGCTCCACATAAATTTCGTAAGTGGCGAGGAGCGTCGAGCAGATTGGCTGAAATTCTGACATGCCTTCGTTTTGTCCATAGTCCGCACGTGACACATCTGCCTAATTGACGTGGTGTTCGGTTATTAAGAGCGGCTTGCCTTCGGACAACTTGATAATTGCGGTGCTAGTCTCACAACTGTATGAGTTGCAATAAGAGAACACCAAACTAAACAAACACGGTTTTCTTGAGCCCTCATGTAAAGATGCATGATGTGTTTGAATGTGGAGGATCAGGCGGACTAGTTTTCTGAGAGCACATACAGCTTAGAACTTCAATTGAGCAAACCTGAGTTCTTATATGAGCGGATGGGGTGCACATTGTCAGTTAAACGACCTCGTAAAGATAAAATAATTTCAATACTTCTGACAACAGGGTACTTCTTTTAGGCAGATGGTCTTTCTACTGTTAGAGCGCGGTTTCACCAAATCGTTACTAACCTTGAGTGTTTTCGTAAATGATGTTGACGTGTTTAGTCCGCACTGACATAAAAGCGTCGGTGCCGAACGCCGATGTTGTGTTATGGATGATGACGCCCTCATACCTTCTTCAGGGTAGTAAGTCCACCTTGGAAGGGATAGCTTATCTCTTTCTGAAAGCTTAATCATGACCTTTATCCAAGTAAAGTTCAATTGAGCAAATCTGAGTTCTTATATGAGCGGATGGGGTGCACATCGTCAGTTAAACGACCTCGCAAAGATAAAATAATTTCAATACTTCTGATAACGGAGTACTTCTTTTAGGCAGATGGTCTTTCTACTGTTAGAGCGCGGTTTCACCGAATCGTTACTAACCTTGAGTTTTTTCGTAAATGATGTTGATATCAGAGGTTTCAGTTTTTTTCAGTACCACCTATATTTCGGCTTTGACTCCAATAGTGATGGTCCACTGTCACGCCATACCTTCAAGAAAGCCAAATAATTTCGTTACTTAGGTTCTGGGCAGAGTCTTACTAATTGTTCTGAATGGTTGCAGCGGATTTCTATAACTTTGTCTTCACTAAAAATCACATACGGAATGCAACACGCTAAAACCGTCTAATTTGGTATTCACAATGGCCTCAATAAATGCAATTATTCGGCTCACAAAAACCATATTTTGTCTGAAAACTAAACTACCTCGCAGACTGTAGGCTAATATCAGAGGTTTCAGTTTTTTTAGTACCACTTATATATCAGTTTTGACGCCAATACTGATGGTCCACTCTCACGCCATACCTTCAAAAAAGCCAAATAATTTTAGTTTCTAAGGTTCTGGGCAGCATCGTGTGTTTGCTGTCAGAGTCTTACGTCCAATGGCATTCAGCAAATTGGAATTTGCTGCAGCGATGCACTTGTCATCAGAAATACTTAGTCTAACATCGCTTTTCTTCCTCGATTGGAATGGAATTTACTCACTGGAGGGGTGGAGACCAAATTTCCGGTCCCCTCAACGCTGACACGATATCTTTATTTTTTGGGCTGATGTGTGGCCCTGTTGGGGATTTCAGTTGGCTGATTGTTGAGACCACTGTTTAAATTACTAATCAGGAGGTCACAGGTTCGAAACTCCATTGGGTTACTTGAGCAATGCTAATGACCCCACCAGTGAGGCAACAGTGCTACCTTGCTCCTCAGCGCATTGGATAGATTGGCCTTAGAGGACGAAATCTCCAAATAAAATCGCCAAGTCTTCTCAGATGTTTAAGAAACTCAGTAGGCCAAATAGCTCACCCGACGAGTGAAACTTCCATTCGAGAAATCGTTTCTCGAGGAACCGCTCAATATCTAACCATGTGATGTGCTTTCTGTGATCCAGGGATGACCGCCGTCACACCCTGTCTGGATGAGCGGTATTCACGTTGTTATTCGGCAACTTGTAGCACCCTGTCTGGATGAGCGGTATTCACGTTGCTATTCGGCAAATCGTCAAATATTCAACCACTGGCTTGAGGGTAGCTAGCTTGAAACCCTCCGTTTTTCGTCCCGAACACAATGCTGATGTTTCTTAGAGAGAATAAGAGAACTGTACAGTGCCTCTCGGATTTGCAGTATAAATTGACTTTACTAGAAGGGCAAAATTTCAATTTAAAATTACCAGATCTTCTTACACCATTGACACTTTGTTAGCTTGATATTTTTCGGTCTAGTCACCTGTAGGATTAGATAACTTCACTTTCATTTTCCTCAGTAAAATGTTACAATAAAAGCCATCTCTCAAAGTGGACTTCTTTTAAGTGGTTTTCCCATGTAATCTTTCTTGAGCAACACAATTGTAAAATCGCTTTACCATCACTGATTACTCCGATCGTAAGTTTCGCTGCAAATACTTTACAACACAAGTTTGCGTCCTACAAAACTTCTACGTTAAAATTGAATGCAATTTGTCTATCGTTTATTTTGTTTTAATTCCACAGGTCCAATTGGAATCGCATCGATTGTCATCGGGGTTATATTATTTGTGATCGCCATCTTAGGTTTTGTTGGCATCTGCTGTCATGTCAAAGCAGTGCTCATTGTCGTGAGTTTAGTCGGTGTTATTTGCTGGATAGAATTTACCTGCGTTGATGCTTTAGTGATGGAAGCAAGAAAAAAATTCAAGCTCACGATAGACGTGACCGGAATGAATAAATGTCTGGTTAACTGGAGGGACTGACTGAAAGGGATTTTTCAATTTGCTCTATTCCGTACGTAAAACCCAAAAGTATCTTTGATTGTCAAAAGGCCAGGGAAAAACTGTTCACTTTTCAACAGTGTCATTCTCCAAGTGTCTTTATACGAGGCTCTACACGACGAATGAACTGTAGGCCTTTGCCTAAAATGTATTATGCATTTCTTTCTTGGATGTGCAGGTCTTACAAACCATAGAAACGAAAATGGACTGAATGAAATGTAGAGATTCATCTAATTTGGAGCTTAAATGAGGTTTACGGGAATAAACAAACATTTGGCCGAAAACCTAGGCAATAAATTACTGCGTTTAGCTTAAAAATCGTAAATTAATTTGAAGTTTATTTATTTTCAGTAGTAGAACGGTGACGAACGAATTCCCTCGGTATTCATAAGTGAACCAGCTGAAACGTTCAAGAGTCCTTGCTATTTTTTTCTTCTGCTAAAAATTTAATTTCATGTGCAGCTTGATTCGGAGTCGGACCATTTTTCACACAGATGGTTCATTTTACTTTGAGTTCTTTGGAAGCCTGCTGAGAGAAATAATCATAAATTATCAAGACGCTTGAGCACTGGATGAATGATTAGATTTAGCAGTCATAATCAAATACGAAAACAAGATCAATGATGAAATTCGCTCGAAAAATGTTCTCCCAACCAATTATATCAGAAGCCTACTGACCAACGGGGTTTGTGACCTTTTTAATAGGCAGTCCGTGGATAAAACAAAAGGACGTATAGGCCAAGACTGTTATTCGACAAAACTAAATCAATCGATTGAATACATCAAAACTAGCGGTTAATCGGCACACTTTGATGACGAGGTTGATCGAAAAAGACTAGAATTAATTTTTCAGGGATATTACAGTGAGTCTGTACTTTTAGATCGGAATGCATTTGTTTTGGTTTCTTGATGAATCGCCGTTAGCGACAATAAAACGCGGTGATGGAAAAAAACATATCTGAAAGATAATTCGATTCAATAAAAAGAGTGGCAGCATATTGCTTCAACTTGGAGTAAGAAGACGTCAAATAGAATGCTACAATCTTGTTTATTATGGGTTGGGTTAATGCTGCGGCTTTAATAATCTGAAAACATTTTGTCGTGCAAAAAGGCTCTCGCAGCATAAAGGAAAATTTGTCATTTGTGGAAACGACTAGTGTGTTTTGGACAAAGCTTCATGAGTAAGAAAAAACGTTGGTTTGTTAAAATAACCTAGACTAAGATAAAAAACGATCTCAACGTTGTGGCTCAACAGCACACTCTTGGAATGGTATTACTTTCAATGACCTAGTTATTTTTATCTTGCAAGAGGATTCCCTATTCGGACGTCGACTTTGATCCACGATCTCACATTTTTTGCCGATACATTTAGCCGATACTAACTGCAATAACCTTTACCGTACCTTTGCTTCAGTACGCATGTATTGTTGGTCTCATTGCTTTGGCACATTTCATCTTGATAATTATACACTTCTCGGACGAAGACCGGGTGAGCTGAGTTTCACATTTTTCTTATTTGTTTACTTGTATGTTTATTTGCATGTATAAACGTAATCTATGTTCGTATTTTTCACTAGTGTTTAGACTCGTATTTTTCGTTGACGTTTTGACGTTTTTTCCAAATACATTGCTTTCCTTATTGAGTATGACAGATTAAGGAAATATAATGCCGTCAGACTGCACAAGTAAAACAAGTTACGTTAGATCTCACGGAGATCACTTACAAGGTTGCTAAAATCTCTTCGATTGGTTTTGCACTCCTTTGAGCTTGCCAGGTAGGCGCAAACACAGAAACCTTCATAAAATGCATGATATTTGGCTGAAATTCAATTTTCTCTCCAAAAAGATTTTTTGTACATTTTAAGTGTCCGTCAAAAGCCCAAGTGTGTCACTCAACCTGCCGTTGGCTGAGAGTTCTCGTGATACCCACATAATCACATGCAACGTGTTTTTATGGCCTTACTGCTTATTTACTGCGCATTGGCACGGAGTATAAAATCTCGTTTCACGATGCCAAGTAGACTGTCTTGGCCATATGAGAGTCATTAAACTGAAACTAATATCCTGCGAACAAATGACAAAATTATAACAGGTCTCCCTTGTCCAGGTGCCACCACAGGACACAAAGAAAGTGAAACAGAGTTGGGCGAGAACAGGAACTCAGTGAAGAGTGCCAGTGTGCAGCTTCGCTTAGTTTGAAATAATTCTTGGACAAAGCCAATTCCGAGACTTGCAGATGAGGTAGTTGTAAGTACAAGTATGGTGATCCACATCTACATATTTTCAAAGATGCGGTCTGTTTGAATTTGATACTAATTATTGTGAGGGATAGACGATGAGTCGAAGCTAAATATAATATGAAGGATTGCAAGACAGAGTGCAGCTTGCCCACTTATGAAGGTTTAGCCCTGTGGAACATCCAACATTAGGCATTCTTGAGGGTGACAATTTGTAGAAAAAAATTATCAAAGAAGCAAAAGGAACAATCCCAAGAATATGTCCTTATAATGAAATGTCTGTTGTTGTGGAATTATCATTAAGGTGGCCGTACGATGCTGATATAAAAGCCCTAGAGATAGAGTAGGGACTTTGAGAGACATTTTAAGTTTTTTGGCCGAGGGTTTTGGTGAAATTTGATGCAGAATTTGAGGTAACTCATCAACTAGTTGTGAACCATTGCACGTCATTTTATGATGAACCAATTTTGAGTATTGGTGCAAAGTTTCTGCTACATTTCAGCAGCCAATTTTCTTTTTTCAGTTTTCATTAATCTACTCATAGGAAATTCATTTTCACTGTGGTCATTCATGTGGATGTCAACGGATTTGTGTGGAATCGACTGTAAGGGACAAATTTCCTGCATTTAAAAACTTAAGACACATTTTGTTTTATCCACCCACTGTTAGCTTGTGTCCGTTTTGGATAAGCTATGCAAATGCATTTGCTGTCCTCTGGATTTTCAGCGAAAACAGAATCATAACTATCGGAGGAAACTGGCAGACTCGACGATCGAAAAGATCTCAATGTGTATTTATGTTGTCAATTCCCTGCCTTCGACTCTCTTAACTGCTGTTAGTAAAATAAGCTCACAGTGAAAGCCATCTAATATTTGTTCTTCGCCAGAAGAAGGTATCTATTCGAAGCAGACTTTTGAAGGCTGACTTTTCCATGGTTAGTGAGCTTCTTTCATTAATTCAAGTAGTGTTTTGCAACGAAAAGTATTCACTATTTGGCGTTTCTCTGTTCAGTGTCTAAGGAGAATCAGTAGAAATATACATTACCTGGTGAAAGGCTACAAATCAATCGAAAGTGGTGAAATATTCAGTGTCACGTTTGGAATGATAATGACAATGGTGAGTCGCACAAATCAGATAGAAAATTTGTTTCACCATTTTAATCAGCTTGGTAAACTGCCTCCTACCCGGGTCGATTTCAAACACTACTTCCCGTAAATAGCGTGAATTATTTAACAAGAAGCAGTGTTCTTGGAATAGTCCAGCTCTAAACAGGAACTGATGAACATCACATCTTGTAAGCTGCCTTATTCTGTGTTATCAACCAGCCGGTAAAATTTGTGGTGCTTGGTGAGGACTACTGTTCTTTTTAAAAACATGCAGTTTAGTGCATCAGTATAAAGCAAGTAACGACGCGTTTAGGGCTGGCCTACCTGGCACATAAACTACGGGCTTCTGGAGACACAGAGATCACGTCCACTGTTAGTCATCCATTTGTCGCGTCTCGTTCAGATGGATAAAACCGTGGAATTGACACCAGAACAGATACCACATAAGTGCCTTCAGAATGGTTGCTAGACCATATGCAAATTTTTTTCAGGAGGGAGTCCAGGCTAATCGACCATCCATACAGATTTTTAGCTTCGTTTGAATGTTTTGACTGTAAATAATCCAAGGCTTGTTGCAACTGATTAACCTATCTTTCGAGAATGTCTGAACGCTTACTAACTCAGATCCTTTGAGTAAAAAGTTGACAGAATAATTAAAAAACCACTTTCATCAAGATTTGTTCCATTATGCACAGTAGGTCTGATGTGTCCATCAGTTAAATCCGGCTTACTGAGAATACCTTATTTCAATTGGTAATGGACTATTCGAAGGGTTTCTGAAAACTCTTCGACAGCCCACGACAGGTTTCGGACTTCTTGGGGCTCATCAGGTAGGCGCAATCTCCGGGTTTCCACCAAACTTATGTTCTACTTGAACCCAAATTGGACTATTTTCGAGAAATACACTCATTTGCAAATCAATTTGATTTTGCGATAGACTCACCTGGAACCCAGGTGAATCTCTCGTTTTTGATGTTTCCAGGCAACTGAATATGCTTCACCAGACCGCCTCCCGTTCCAGTTGCTACGATATTCGAGATATCGTGATAAATGTGCATTCTTAATAGTGCAGCACATTCAGTTGACTGGAAACATCACAGACAAGAGATTCGGCTCGGTTTCAGGTGAGTCTCTCGCAAAACCTTATGTAGTCATTGTGAACAATTGTCCAAACTTTTAATGTCCAGGCTTTTAGGTGGGAAAATATCGTTTCTGACTTCATGCTAACGAAGTGTTTGCCCACATAAATCCGAACATTATTGTGTCTTGCGTTTGGTGCTTGAGAGAGCATGAAATCACATTTGGCCCTATTATTTCAGTTTGACTGCTGCGGACACAACAATGGAACGGATTTTCTTGCTGAGGGTGCACAGTTCACGCACAGAGATTCATACGGAGGATATCATTTCCCATGTAAGTCGTTGGCGTATTTTTTCGTCCCCTAATTAATAATCAGGATTGTTTTGTTCGTCTGTGTCGCATCAGAAAAACAATATAATATATATATATATAATGTATATAATAATGACCAAAACAATCTTTTCGCGAACCTACAGCAGCATCACCATGTTTAACAAGGACGGGTGTCGCTGTCACTAATGATCAAAATTGAGGTATCTATATAATATGAATTTAACCACAGAAAGTGACTAAGCGTTGTCTTTAAGGCCCACAGGTGGTCTGTCTCTTCGTGAGCATTTTGGCTGCTCACTTTCAAAGCTGAACGAAATCACTCTGCTTTAGGATGGTGGCTGCTTTTGAAGTCTTCTGATTAATTTATTTCATTATTTTGCAGAGTCACACGATCATATCACAACCGCTTGTGATTCAATTGTATTCACTAAATGGTTAAATATGTATTTGATCAAGGATTAATCAGCAGCCGGTAAAATTAAATGTGTAATCTCGGTAGTTTCTGAAAATAAAGTTTAGAATTTTTGTGCCATGGGTTCGCCAGTATTAATTTGCTCCATATCACATTAACTTGTTTTCAGTAACTGTTCTCCGGTAATGGGAAAGCAATACCAGAAAAAAGTGTCACATACTTATATGGATAGGACAGTTGTCACCTACAGAATGAACCTTTGCGCTCCCATCTGAACTCTGTCCAATAGTATTTCAGAAAGCGCACAATGTTCTTTGTGGTATTAGGGCCACACAACTGTAGTTGTTCCGAACAATACGATATTCCTTGGACCTTCTTATTGGTCTTCAAAAAAGACGTTTGGCGTCCAACGTGAAAGATCACTTGATAAAGCCATACTACGAATTTCAAGCTGAACGATATGAAATTTTATATAATGTTCTTACGGGGGTTACAAACGGGCCATAAAGGTTCCACTTAAACATGTACCACCTGTAAGTTACCATTCCTCAGAACCCCCACTGCGAGCTTAACCTTGATAAACGCTAATAAGCAATTCAGCTTATTCGATATCATTTCGTACGGCCGTTCACAGGATCCGGGGGTGAAAATTGTTACAATTGTTGGTGCCAGGGTTACCGGTCTGTTTTATTCGCACCGGTGTTACATTAAAAGTATAAATGCCTGTGACTGTGTCACAAGGTAAACTCTGCTTCGGAAGAAAGAGCCCCAGTGAACCTTTACATTAGAGGTGACGACAGGATACTGATATCGATATAAAGTTAAATGTTCATATTGAGGGTTGATGAATTATTCATATCAGTCCGGAATCGTCTCCCGCGTTTATCCAGATGACCAAAACGGATTAATCTGCGTTTTCCAAGCTGTCCAAATTATTTGTTCAAAAGAGCATCCCCCAAGACAATTGCGCTATGTTAATTAATGTTGCTAATGTTGCATCTACTGCTGGTTTGACAGAATATGTCGGCGACTCACACGGTGTGATAGCCCTATGTTGTTATGACCTTAGTGGATAAGAAATTGAGCAATAAAGGATTTATGCCTTCTACAGCCATACAGCTCCGAGCAACTTAAATAGCACCCAGTATTCAGTGAAATATCTTTTTGATAACGAAGGAAAATGAATCTTGCACTATCTGATCAATGTGTCCAAACACTGGAGAATGTTGTCGTTTTGTTGGCAATTCCCAGTATGTCTTCATCCGTATTTAGGGACAGATTCGGTACGCGCTCTATTGTATCCCAGTTTGTATCCATGATAGTTAAGAGAGGGGGCACGCATCATTTAGGCATTATTTGCCTCGCATGTAGCATCTCTCTCAATGTTTCAACCGAGTTTTGACACTGACAGTTTGAATCAACTGTTAACGTTTTATGTAACTATTGAAAAAGACAAGCACATATGCACAGGAACGATGCTATCACCAAACTTCCTTCAAAGAGCTCATTTGTTATGAGGTTTTCCTACAAATGATGTTTTGTTACTTGCATAACGACATAATATGTGATGCAGTGTGGCGCAAATAACGACTTTAATTTCTATTTTATTTCTACCAATTTTTATTTCTGTGTTCTATTTCTAGCAATCCAGTTTCCTGCGCCATGCTGCAAGAAAGGATACGTCGGAGAGGGTGCACAAAATTGTCCTCAAATGTTCACGGAATTAAACAGCAACTATCTCAGAGGTTGTAACGAGGTACTGTATTATAGTCTGAAGAAACCGATCACAATCACAGCTCTTGCGTCCTTGGTGATCCCCATTGTCGCGGTGAGTAGATAAATTATTTGTTTGTTCATGCATCAACCAACGTTTGCAGGTGATGCGCTAACATCTTTAGTATCTGACCATTGTTGCATTTGAGGTTAATTGCTTCCAGGTTGTGCATATGAGTTTCTTGAAATACCTGTGAGGGAACATTGTCACAGCTGGAGGAAGCCCTGTTTGACAGTGCACCCAACGTCTATTAAGATTACGAGCTCTTCTCGTTAGTAGCAAAACTGCAAAACAATTTGCCCTTAGCTTCTCACAGAAAGTCTAGGAGGATTCATCTCCAGATTGCGTAGTTCAGTACTTTTTGCTTGATTAATGTTGTTTTTTGCAGCCTTAATAACACCGCATCACAAAGGGTAGCGTCTTCGGTTAGCTGTTGGTATTCGGTTGCCCTTGCAAGAAATTCATAGTTCCGGCATACCATCTGAAGAACACATGCTTCTTACTCTACGCAGTAATATTTTCTTAAGCCAATTTGCACATTAAAGTTGGTGAACTCCATCATGACTGTACAACAAACCGCTTTTAGTGATATCAAATTTAAACTTGTGGCCTCGAAAACATATAGGAAGTCTCGATTCTCATTTGATTCAACTACAGCCTATTAATCAAACTGAATATTAGTCATGATCCGTAAATTTTGCCAGACGTCAAAAAAGCAGCCTGCCATTCACATTTATAAATTAGTAACTTGATAAATTACTTGCTTTCAAGCTACATTTATAAATTAGTAACTTGATAAAGTATTTGCTTTCCAGCTTTCGTCATTAAATCAGGCTAGCGTTTTTCAAACTGAACTTTCAAGCAACTTGTCTACAATCGGCTTCCTCAAAATTCGAAAAAATGTGATGGGGACAAAGTGGTGTGAAGAAGTTAAGAAAATTTCCCATTACATCTAAGGAAACCCAATGGAAAATTTGATCAGCATTCACAATCAGCTATATATTGCATGACTATTACTCACTCTCAGTTGTTCGAAAAATCTTGACGGTTGTTCAGTCAGGGCAAAAAAATCCCCCGTTCTTCAGAACGTGACTGAGTTGCAAGCTTTTATCATAAGTCTAAGTGGCTTTAGTCGTTTTATGAATCTTAACTGAGTTTCCCATTTGCGGTGTTTGTTCTTTAACTGACGTGAAAACTGTGCGGTGAATCCAACATGAGACCATGTAGTTCAATCCGCTTATTTCAGATTGACAGTTTGAAGGCACCAGAGAGGAACTCATTAACAGAAGCATCAAGTTTTGTTCAAACTAACCGGTTTATGCATTATGCGGAGAAGATTTTATCGTTCTCTAAATACATCTGCTCGTCAACTTGTTCACGTAATGTTAAGATAATTTAAGTTTCACATTGGAGACTGCTAAATACGGGAACACTCATTAGTCAATAGATAGAATATTTTTCTGGTCTTATGAAGAATTTTTCAAATTAAGATTAGACAAACAAATGACATCTTGCTAAATTGAAAAGCAACCGTCCGTTATGTTTCAGCACACACAGATGCACGCGCGAAGCCCAAATAAGCTAGTTCACGGGGGTGATATAATGAGATCTACAGTGTTCTAATGGTATTGTTGGCTGCTTTAAACCCAGGAGCTCTGTAAGTGCGGTGTTCTTTGATGTGCCTAAATTAATGTTCGATCGAAGAACAAAAACACATGGGAGAATACTGGTTGTACTTTGCACTCCTGCCTATGTTTGTTTGTAAGCGATCTCTCTGAGTGGGATCTAATGTATGTCATCCAGGTCTGCACGCAGAAAACCAGCCTCACTGCAAAACGTTTTGATCGCCAAAGCATATAACAAACCCCCTTTACTCATAAATAACTACAAGGAAGAATGTTGCTGGCAGTAAACATTCATACCCCAAAGGATAATGGGTCAGGGTTGCTTTTTATTTCCAAAAAGTTCCGTCTGCAAAGGGTTGGAAAACTGAATATCAGGGGTTTTCAAGGTGGTTAAACGCACGATAAAAACACAGCGGAACGTTGGAATATGCCGCAAAATCTGAAGAGTAAGCAGTGTATAAACATATCACAATTACCAGGTATCGGGAAATTTTGAATAAACAAGCATTAATGTGGTTCTTAAAGGTTTGATGAATAGAAGACTGAGTGAATTTAACGGACATGCAACTACAGAGAAAATGTATTTCAGGTAAACTGAGATTTCCTGCAGCTAAGTGAAGCAAAATATAAGTAGGATCTCTGAAACGAAAGCAACGTAAACTTACTTGTTCCATTATTGGAAGTATGACTTTTTTGGGTGATTAAGTGGGATTTCCGTCAAAGTGGAAAAGTCAGTGGGACTCCGAATTTTCTACCGCATCAACATACGTAGAGGAAGTTTCACGCAAAATATAGCAGCAATGTACCACAATAAAGGGTTCAAGAAACTATAGAACGGTAGACGCTGAGAAGAGGAGTATTTAAAAGCGTAAAATGAAGACAAATTTTATATTGCTTATGGAAAATCTGAAGAATTAGGTATGAGTAATCAGTGGATGGATTTAGATTCAACGAACTTAGGGAGGGTTGAGAAATATCAGCGGATGAAGAAACAAGTATTCATTCAACTTGCTTGATCAACTGCGTATGGAAAATCTGAAGAATTAGGTATGAGTAATCAGTGGATGGATTTAGATTCAACGAACTTAGGGAGGGTTGAGAAATATCAGCGGATGAAGAAACAAGTATTCATTCAACTTGCTTGATTCAACTGCGTCCGATGAGCCCAAAGCAAAAATGTGTGTATAACAGGTGTTCAATTTATTAGTGACTAAATACGGTGGCTTCTAACTTAATAAAAGACCGATACTTGAGTTTAATGGGTTGGAATCAACAATCGCTTGAAAGCACTCATGACCAAAAGACGTGGACAGAAGTGCGTGTCGGCGCATTTCCTAGCCAGGATCTGTTGAAATATATCCCATCATTTTTATCAGTACATCGGCGATTTATAAATTTTTTTCATTCAGACGTGTACCCCATGGAAGGTCATTTTTAGCATAAACGCATACCGAAACTGAGATAACGGGTTTGAACCTCCCTATGGAGATTCCTACACTGCTGGCAACTCTCTCCAAACAGCGGTGGACTGCTACTCAGCTTCTCTGCATAGATTTTCTTCACCTACATGGCGAATTCTACACTGAATCCTCCAAACTCTTTGCATGCTGCTGATAATTCTACCCGGACGAGTCATTGTGCGGATAACCAAGAATGGGTATGTCATTGGTTCAGATGAGGTGGACAAACGTCTTCTAAAAAACCTGGACGAATTACGGTTGGCGCTAGCAAAGCAGTTGTTTTTTAGTTCAGACAAACTGGCACTCTCTGGCATGAAGAATATACACATGCTTTTTTAAGTACAAATGAAAACACTGAGGAAGCTGAGAAGGTTAAAGAAACGAAGCAAGTAAAGTGCAGCGACCAAGCAAGAACCAAAAAATATTTGTGATTGGTCGGACATAAGGAGCTAAGCTTTGGAGGAGAATGTCTCAATCGGACGGAAGAGTTTAAAAAAAGTACCTTACATTTTTCATGGAAGCGCAAGTTCCTGCCGCAGTGGTCATCAAAAACAAGATAAAAAAACTAAGAAAGAAATGTTGGCCAGCCGTTTATATAAGATCCCACCAGGATCGGCCTTTGTCATGTATACTGGATTGCTAAACTACCTTTTTACTCGTGAAGATATCCATCCCTTTTTCGATGATAGTATTAAGGAAATCATAGTGACTAACTTCTGCCGCAGTGGTCATCAAACACAAGATAGAAAAACCAAGAAAGAAATGTTAACCAACCGTTTATATAAGATCCCACCAGGATCGGCCTTTGTCATGTATACTGGATTGCTAAACTACCTTTTTACTCATGAAGATATTCATCCCTTTTTCGATGATAGTAGTAAGGAAATCATAGTGACTAACTTGGTTGAAACGATGTTGAGATTTAAAAAAATCATTAGAGCGCTTAAGGGGTAAAAAGCTTCGGATTAAGAACTGAATCTTTCTATCCCGATTTGCAGACGATTGGCATTGGAGAATGTGGTGTGAGATGGCCATTGAAAGTCAGGTGGGAACCGGTGCATTACACCGGGGCTGCAGAAGTTGATGGAAGTGGAGTCAGTTGAAAAGAATGGTGCGTATGTGTCAAAGATAAAACTGTGGCAACCGTCACAATCCTGATTTCCAATTGCGGAAGGTGAAATTTGTTATGAAAATTTGGTCACACGATGATCTACCTCATGACAGCTTCTGCTGTGTGTGATGAAAGAAAGAGCTAACTAGATTGTGAGCACTGCATTTGTATAAAATTTGGCACCGTTTTTGGATCCTTAGACTTATTTGTCGTTGTGACTCCCTGTGGAATAAAGCTGAGCACATTTAGTACTAATACGTCAAATGACAAGTGATGACGGACTTTGCCATTGTCACCCCGTGAGCTACGGAAGTCACAAGGGCGAGGCTTAGAATCTTAGTTATGCCTACCAATGTTGTCTGACCTCCTATTGCTCCCACCCGGGTAAAAATCTAGAATAGGAGTGGAATGATGAACAAGCTAGGACTTTTATTGCGTTCACACCAGCCGACTGATTGGGCGGGCTACCGAAAACGTAAGTGTTAAGTAGATTTTATGAACTACCTTATGTTCGTAGCCTATCTGAAAGAGTATCTACGAACAAATTCGGCGATGCAGACGGAATAATTATTCATCTGAACCAGTGCTGGCAAGTTGTACACACATACCCATCGGGCTTTGCAATCAGTGCAAGAAGCCTTGCAGAACAGCAAACAAATGAAACATTTCTGAAGGCCATAGCTTCTTTCTCTAATTACAAATATCTCATGGAGTTCCAGGATTCTTGTAACAACTTTCAGACAATAACAAGTGTGTAGATAAATTATTGTTGAATTTCACGGATCGATTAAAAGGCACTCTATTTTAAAAAGATAAAGGTCAGCTGTTTTCAGGTTGTTGTGATATTTTGTCTTT